ATGGAAAAATATTTCGAACAAACGAAGTTGTCTACAAATTAATTACACTTAAAATGATAACAATTGAAAAACATTTTCAAATGTTTGACAGTAATCACATTTAGGGTCTCTGTTTACCTTTCTAAAGGGATCACTTTGTTTCTAGATTTTTATACTTCGCAGCTGCAGGTGTCAAGTGCTGTGTGGCAGCTGTAAAAAGTTGCCCCGTACTTCACTTCAGTGTTGTTATATTTTTCTGGTCCTTCGGGGTCATTGATGCCAGCACTATTAAGTGTTGAGAATTGAGTACCGCTCAAGCCGGTGCTAGGGGGCGTGAGAGATGTTGCACTTATTCATTATCCCTCATGTACAGACTCAATCAAACCTAGTCTGCAATTCTCTTGTAATTTTGTTCCGAGGGATCACTTTGTTTCCAGATTTTTTTTTCTAGATGGCCTAGTGGTTAAGATCAATCCTTAGATAATGGGTTCTAACCCTATTTGGATGACGATCATGTTTCTAGATATGATACCAGTACTGGTTTGTTTTAGAAAGCGGACTGGACAGTGATTAAAAATGAGTTGCAAGAACTTGTTTAGCAATTGAGCTTAAATGAATATGTTTAAACCAAACTATTACCATGTTTATAATAATAGTACGAGTATTCATTCTTTCAGAACATAAGTTGCGCTCTATTTGAATGATACAGTGCGTCATTCTCAGTTTAAAATATCCTATGATATATTTAATTTCTAGATTTTTAAGATGATGAAATGTAAGGATATCATTACAATGTAACAGTACAATTAAAATTCAACACTTTTTTACATCATTTTATTAAATAAGCGGAAACTTAAAATGGACTCTTGTTTCGCAGCTGATCAAATGTATCTATTTTCTACATTTTTTTGATGTTTAATACCTAATCTAGTTAAACATACACACACAGAAACCAATGAGTGACCTCTGCTTTTGACTTAAGTCGTAAACAAGAAATGTTGTTGGACGTTATTAGCATACCTAGCACATAATTTAAATAGTTTAACCAATATGCAGCCTGCAATGAAAATACAACTGCGTCGTATCATATTTAATTTTCAACTGCGTCGTATCATTTCGTAAAAATCATTATTTTCTTAGAAAATAAACATCTCTTTTTAATGAAATTTTAGTAAATGATGCAAAATTATATTTCAAAGTTTATGGTAACTCGGAAACGAATATATAATTGATTTGAAGGAAAAAACGATAGATAAAGCAATATGAACTGCGTCGTATCCACACATTTTAATAAAAATTCTGCCCCGCTTCGAGTTGCAAGTTCGCTATAACTTTTGTTTTACAAAATAGTTATGTAAGCAACATATACCGAACGAAGCGGAAAATAGTGTAGCGTGTTAATACATATATCTGGTTTGCAGTCATTTCCAACAAAAAGAGTTATAAACAAAAACATATATTTTTCGTTCCAAGATGGCGGCGTTTGTTTACATTTTGTAGGATACGACGCAGTTTTGATTACCAGCCCTGTACCAATAGTCACTGGGATTCTCCAGAGTCCGTCGAACAATTATTATTTTGGAAGTGCAATGTCAATTTGTTAGACAGCAAAAATATATTGCAGAATTAAAAGGTTTCTAAAATTGTATACTCTGACGCTAGCTGCACGGGTTATGCAGGGTATAAATTGTCGACTATAAATGAGGTTTTCCATGGTATAGAGTTGTTCCTTGGCTCATATGTTAGCTCATGAAAGAGTCAAATGGTTTTCAAGCAGTTAGTACAATTGCAAAAAAATGGTTCTATGAAAAAAGACTAGCAAAAAGATCTTATAAGATTTTTTAGTTTTATTTGTCAAATTCAATTTTTCTCGAGTTAGAATGGATCCCTTGTTCGAAGAATGATAAAGCTGATTATTTATCAAAAATTGTAGATTTTGACGATTAGAGACTTGCCTCCCAAACTTTCGATTTCATGGTCAATTTGAGATTGGTTTGCTTCCGAAAATAATGCGAAAGTAAATCGTTTTATTCCAGATATTGGAATTCGTATTCTGCAGGGGTAGACGCATCACAGAGTTTTGGGGCAATTATTTCGGATAGTTTGACCCACCTATTCCAATTTTTCATAGAGTATTGTCAAAGATGAAATTGATAAAGCAAAAGGTGTTTTTGTCGTTCCTTGCTAGAAATCACCTGTATTTTGGCGTATTCTCTGTGAAAACCGAAAGTTTATGTCTAGCGTTAGTGATTGGATAGATTTGCCTACAAATAAAGATTTTTATACTCGATGTAAGTCCGGGGCAATACAGATTTAAAATTCCGAGTGATATTATTAATCTTTCAAAAGGAGATTAATCGTATTACTTATATCAATATTTTACTTTAGAGTTGTCCCCCTTATAGTAAGAATATACAATATTGTCAGTGAATAGGCAGCATTGCCAGCAAAAGACATAATTGTTAGTTAAAAGGCAGTATTGTCAGAAATAGACAGAGTTGTCAGATATTATAAAAGGCATTTATCAGATACAAAACTAAACTGATTGATAAAATGAACATGGTCTTTGGAAAATTTTCAGTTATATTCAAAGGATGCAAATGATTGTATCTCTTTAACATTCAAACTTAAATTCAAATTGTAATAGATCACCTGATGTATATGAAATGATTTTTTTTATATTCTTTTCTCATTATTAATGACATACATGTATAACTTTCTCATCCATAACGAAGTGTTGAAAACATCAGATGGAGTTGATATTCAAACATACGACCCGCAGAAGGTAATCAAATTCCGTAAATATGGTGACAAACATTTCTTTTTATTATCATAAGTTTAATAAGTTAGGTAGTTTTTGCTTTCAGTGTTCTCTTGGAGACGACAATCTGAAACATGATGTATGACGAGACAGTTATCATAGCTTATACATTTAATATTTATAATAACATGTGTAGGCGGAGAAGATATACAAAATAATACAAAAAAATGAATGTTATTTGTGAAAAGTATCAACATTTAAAAACTTTAAACGGTGTTTTCTTAATAGATTGCATGGAATGAATTCGACAAAAATATATATCATGTGTATGTAGATAAGTATTCATACATGTTCGTGTACACTTTTCTTGTCGAAATAAAACACACGAGCAACCTAACAATTATGTGGTAATTTTTTCTGTAGAAAGTGGTTGTCTTTAGAAAGTATGCATGATTGTAAGCATAAAATGTTTTACTATGTTTTGAAAGAATAACCAAAAAACATATTTTCATATGTAACCACTGAACTTTGTGTTCCGCTATAAAAATTGAGAGTAAACTTGTCATACAAAATTAAAATAAAAAAGGGACCACGGAATCCCTAAAGAACGACCAAAACCATAAAACTTAAAATGTTCCAAGCTGGTGTTATTAAGCCTGTTCATGGACGGTAATGGAAAGTGCCAGTCCACTAGCACCGTCTTAAGCAGAATTCAACATCAAAAACACGAATATGATGAAATTTTGAATTTAGAAACATCCACAGGTGTGTTAATATGACCTTTATCACGGAGACTAATGTGACAAGTAAATACCATTCTATGACAAGCGGCGTAAAAGCATTGTGATACTTATAAATAATTTTAAAACCAGCGTACCTCCAGGTACATGTTATTTTATAATATGTAAGATTGAATATTATACTTAAAAACGCTTGCAATAAAAATAAAATGACTGCTGAAAGAGGTTTATATCAAAACGACACTTTCGTTGACTTTTATTTCCATTTCCTCTAACAATTAAAAAAGTGAAGTGGCGTCGCACGACTCTAGGAATTCCTTCATCTTGTCGGTATATCTGAAAATCATCAATATCGTAATTCTACATGTACCTGATGAAGAATTTAGATTAATTGTTATTATTTCAAAATTCATTTCCAATAAACGTCAGTCAATAGATTACCCTGTGCTAATGTCTATTAATTTTATATAATCTTTGCCATAATCCGTAAAATTGTTCAATTATACTAAACACACTTTGCATATTTAGTGAGAAAATCACTATATATAGATTCCATCGAATTATCGTTGAATGATTGCTTTTGTATTTTGTTACGCAAATTTTTACATAATTTTATTTGTTAAAATACTTACACCTGGCAATTCCATGAATTCCAGTCAAAATCTCTTCCCACATTTCTCCAGGCACATTCAAACTCAGAGATTCTATGAGCACATGTTGTAAATCCAAATGTTATAGCTGTTCTGTTTTGATCACACAAGGCTTCGTCCATACAATTGATCCTCCTCTGTAGTAAAATCACATGTACATGAGAGATAACAATTTGATATTCCAATGGGATGTTTGAATTTTTAGATTCATTTAGTCAGATTAATGTAGTACGTCAAACGCAAAGAATAGAATGTTCAGATAGAATATCTGTGTTGAATCTAATTGAATTCAAAATGGCCATATTATCAACATAAAATTCTGAAAACGAAAAGTACTAAATGATGTATGAAAGTTAATTACTTTGTTATTAAATAAAATTGATAATCCGACTAAATACGGGGATAGAACACTATTTAAATTTGGACCATAATTCAAACAAACTCACAGGATAATTCCAGGTTCCCCAGTCGTAGCATGTAGATTTTATTGCTATATACGTATGGTTTAAGCCGTACGGAGCATATGTTCTACTATTGTATCGAATACCTCTCCTGGACAAGGCTTTATACGATTCCAATGACAATGACAATGGACATGCATATAAGACATAAATTTTTTCCCTGAAACCTGAAATAATGTCAACGAATAAGAATTTTGGTTCAATTATTTTTCTTATGTTCTACCTCTTGTGAATTAAAAATTCAAGGACTATTGATGTAAACAAAACAAGATTAAGAACACTTTTATCCTGGAAACAGTCTCACGCAATTTAAACATTTATTTTAGTAAAAACATCTACATCTATGTATCTGGAGGCAATATCCCTTGACATGTTTTTTATTCAGTCAAAAATATGACTCAAAATTGTCCGATAACTCACGCTGTATCCCTACGTGACTCTATTTCAAAATGGCGGCGCATCTCATAAGTAGCATGACTTGGTCTCATAGTCTCATTTATATTTGATTTCACTTATTTTATTTTACTTACTTATCAACATTTCAATGCTATATGAGAGAAAATAAAGGAAGCACAGGGAAAGTGCATGACAAATTAATCTTGTCACCACTTTAATATAAACAATGTTCACGCCCGTGTCCCCGACAAATCCCCGAAAAGTACATCACAAAAATAAAAATTCAACCGTGGTGGGCTGTAACTACCGATCTCTCTGACAACTTTTCAAACCCCTCCGGGTTCGAGCGAAGTATATATTTTTGCTATCAATTACAGTTTTCGTTAAAAACATGAAATAGGGACAATGCCAATCATACACAAAAATAAAAAAGTACGTTCGACTGCAAAAAATGACATCTTACATGGTAATACTTATGTATTATATATGCAATAATCTTCCGCACTAGAGAGGCCTGTAAGCCACGTGATGGTACATTGGGGTAACAAGTTTGATCACCAGCAGGAATCCTAAGGTCACTCAAACCTAAAATTAAATACTTACTTTGTATTGTTATATCGTTGTCAGAAAATTTTGCTAGTCTTTATAAAGTGTTAAAGATAATCTAATATCAAGTCTTGTTTTGTCCAAGTTTAAATTAAGTCCGTACATGAAAAACAGAATTTTACAAAAATTCAATTATTTGACCCTTATGGTCAAGGTCATTGAACATTCAAGGTTAGTTCAACTTTTTAGAAGGCCTTGTCCAAAATGTTGTTTTGTCGAATTATAAAGATAATCCATTTATGAATAAACAAGTTACAGTCAAAGGAACCCAAGAACCCCAAACAAAAACAGGACATGGCAATTCAATTTAAGTTTAATACAAATAAATGTCTTGTCCTTAAAAATGGTGTGTTATAATATGAAGTCAATCCATTTATTTATGACAAATATATAACCACTTAAAGAAAAACTATTACAAATTTTAATAATTTGACCTTCAAGGTCAAAGTCATTTACGAGTAAAAGTCTGTCTGGTTAACTTGTTTAAGAAAAAAGAAGACATTTAACATTGAAGGTCAATACTATGTATGAATGATGATCAAGATTACTCTAGATCTAATTAACGGTCGTGTCCCAAGGGTTGTTTTGACAAATATGATTAACAAGATCAACAAGGAAAGGCGACGTTCAATGAACGCAACCCCCATACGACCCAGCAACAAGAACCAGTGGCAAGGAACCCAGGCGGACATCAAACAAAAACAGGACAGGGCACAAGACAGAGCACGGGCATTCCAATCACTAAAATGATAAATAATTTGTAACTGACAAGGAACCCAAAGAAAACAAATAAATGATTGAATAATATGCAATAATTTGTAACTGATAAGGAAGTCAAAGAAAACAAATAAATGATTGAATAATAGGCCCATAAAGTCAAGGGGAAGAGCACCGGAGACCCGGGGAAGGGGACAGGAGACCCGGGGAAGGGGGGAGGGGGTAAAATTAAAGAAATAAAAACTAGGGGCAAAGGGGAAGATACTTTCCGCAGACGAGAAAACAACAAGGGACACAAGCAAAAGTGTCACCAAAACAGTATGAAACAACATAGACATACATCTGAGGAACACAAAGGGGCGTCGCATTTGAACGGTCAGCAGCACAAGTACTGCTGGGGAGTTTAAACCGGTTAATGGTGCATCAAATCTCACTCTTAGCCCCACCATGTTCCTATAAACGAGACAGTGTAAATAAAACGAATCCCCGCCAAGCAAAATTCTAACAGTTGTTATGGTTACAAAAGGTTAAACAAGTAAAACACCAAAATGATCATGTAGAAACATATAAAAGTAAACCAAAATGACCATAACCAAAGTACTCAATGTCCTAAAAGAAGACAGAGCAACAAGAAAATCACCTACAAGGAACCGACGAAACAAGGCAGAAGACGAACATTAAGACAATTCAGTCCCAAAGGGCATTAAGAACTGTCCATCATAGAGTCTCCCCTTGGTCCGTCAAATGTAATCAAAAGAGGAAAGCGTAGTGTCCAACTGTCCACTAAGCATGCAGTATGTCTTAAAATAGTTGGGTCATAACCTTTTTATGCCCCCACAGAGTGGGAGCATATAGCGTTGCACTTGTCCGTCCGAGTGTCCGTCCGTACGTCTGTCCGCACTCACAGGAGAGTAATTATGTGGCTAGAGGGACAATAGGTAACTGTTCTTTCTCTTTGATGTCATTCATTCCGTAATGCTTTTATGTGGCTATTTTCTTTTGCGTGGCTAAAAAGAACAATAGAGAGAACAATAGAGTAGCCACATAATTACTGTCCTGTGAGAACGTCCGTCCGTCCGTCTGTCCGTACGTCCCGAAATCTTGTGAACGCAACTCCTCTTAAACCGGATGGCAGATTTTGCTTAAACTTCAAGGGATGATCAACCTTAATGTGTAGATGGTAGTAAAGGAAGGTTTTTTTTGCTGCGATCAAATTTAACAGAATTATGGCCCTTTGTTAATTTTTTTCACCATAGACCATATAGAAAGTTTGTGAACGCAACTCCTCTTAAACCGGATGGCAGATTTGGTTAAACTTCCAGGGATGAACAACCTTAATGTGTAGATGGTAGTAAAGGAAGGAATTTTTGCTGCGACCAAATTTAACAGAATTATGGCCCTTTGTTGATTTTTTCACTATATACCATATAGAAATTTTGTGAACGCAACTCCTCTTAAACCGGATGGCAGATTTTGCTTAAACTTTCAGGGATGATCAACCTTAATGTGTAGATGGAAGTAAAGGAAGGAATTTTTGCTGAGACCAAATTTAACTAAATTATGGCCCTTTGTTGATTTTTTCACTATATACCATACCGAAATCTTGTGAACGCAACTCCTCTTAAACCGGATGGCAGATTTTGCTTAAACTTCCAGGGATGAACAACCTTAATGTGTAGACGGTAGTTAAGGAAGGAATTTTTGCTGCGACCAAATTTAACAGAATAATGGCCCTTTGTTGATTTTTTCACTATATACCATATAGAAATTTTGTGAACGCAACTCCTCTTAAACCGGATGAATCTTCGAGGGATGAACAACCTGAATGTGTAGATGGTAGTAAAGGAAGGAATTTTTGCTGCGACCAAATTTAACAGAATTATGGCCCTTTGTTGATTTTTTCACTATATACCATATATAAATTGTCAGTGGGGGCATCTGTGTCCTTTGGACACAGTTCTAGTTTAATAAAACGTGATAAGTGAAAATATTTAATGCTTAATTTCATATAAGGTGAAAATAATATGTTTGGTTTAGTAACATGAGTGAAAATAAATAGGTAGATCGACTTAATCACAAACGAATCTAAGGGGTTATATAGGAGTCAGCTTGTCGGTCGGTCCACATTATGGTTTCCAGACGATAACGGTATTATTATTGTCGTTATATTTTTCTGGGCTTTTGGGATCATTGATGCCAGGATTATTGAGTGTTGAGAATTGAGTACCGCTCAAGCCGGTGGTGGGGGCGTGAGGGATATTGTACGTATTCATCATTCCTCATGTACAGCCTCAATCAAACCGAGTCTGCAATTCTCTTGTAATTTTGTTGTGATTAATGCTTGATTATCCTGGAAATGATTATATGGAAACCCCGGTTGGTGTTCCCATTGAACCCCCAAGGGTCAAGGTTAAGTCACTGTTACTTGAAATAGACAAAAATGGTTTCCAGACAATAACTAGTTAGGAGTGAGATATTTAATCAAAATAAGTATACAGTATATGGAAGCTTATATGAAGACCCCAGTTGGTCTTGCATTTGAACGCCCTAGTGTCAAGTTACAGGTCACCGTTACTAAAAATAGACAAATGTTTTTGGGATAATAACTAGAGTTACTGAATAATAGCAAATGAGGTATTATAATTTAACTTGTTGTTTAGCAAGCTTATATGACGACTCAGTCTTATATTGCATTTAGAGACACCCTGGGGTTAGTATCAAGAATCTAAGTTGAAATTGAAAAAGGTTTTCCGACCAAAAACTAAAGTTAGGAAAGTGGCATTGTAATGAAACTTGGGGTATAGCACCCTTATGTAGAAATCCTGGTTGTATTGCATTTGGACCTCCTGGGGTCAAGGTCACCGTTTCTAAAAAAAATCTGCCCGGCGGTCGGTCTACATCATGGTTTCCGAACGATAAATAGAGTTTTGAATGAGGTATTAAAATCTAGCAATCGTATGTGTAAACCCTTGTTGGTATTGCATTTGGACACCCTGGGTTGAAAATGTTACTTCACAAATTTCAATAAATCACAACTTCCTTTCTTGACTTTCATTATAACAAGAAAAATATTACATACATTCACATGTAATATAGGTCCGACTGCATGCTAACTTATAGAATAGATCAACAAGGAAGGCGGCGTTCAATCAACGCAACCCAAACACGATAAAGCAACACAGGACCACCGGCAAGGAGCACAACAGGACCCAAATTAAAACAGGACAGTGCAGAAGGCAAAACACTGTAATAATAAAAATAGGAATTAATAGAAACCGACAATGCTTGCTGCAGGAAAGGTGCTATGTAAAGTGAACAAGCAAGTCATCAGATGTTATATATTTTAACATAATATCAATGTAGCATGCCGTCAGATGAGAAAAAACGTTTGAAGGAAATCATCAAAAGTATAAAAAGAAAACAACGCACAGCCGATTAGTAGATTAAACATTTTTTGAATATTGTTGAATTGTTTTACATCGGTTATTGCAACGAACATCTAAAAAAATTTCTCAAATTGTCATTTTCGCAAAATTGATCGATGTCACACTGTATTTGCCTCATAAATTGTGTCTATTGAAATGTATATTTTGTAATGGTTTCAAAAGAAAAATCATATTTTTGTTTGAAATTTTAATGACAGATTCTGGGCCTGCAGTTTAAATCGGAAGAGGATACTCTATAAACGGAAATGGAGCAAAAATGCACGTTTTTTACAGTATTTTTCCTCACAAAATTATGTTGCCTCAACCACATGTATTTATGTATTTTTTATATCTAACACAAAACTGACTTAATTATGTAAAACAGAAAAATATATTTTAAAATGGATTTGTTCCCATAAAATTGAAGATTTAAGAACTTTTTACAGTTTTTATAAAATAAGATTTGTCTGAGTATGCTTATTGTGCAGTAAACAAACTGACAAAAACGAAAATTAAATATCACACTATTGTAGTACGTTCAATTATGAGAAATAATGAACTTACCTGTTACTCTTGCTGGAAAGCCCAGTAGAATCAATGAAACATCTACAATATAAAACATACTTGATGAATGATTTCCAAAAAAGAAGGGTTTTAATTTATTCAATAAAAAGCAGTTAACAAAATTAAAAATAGTGGTTTATAATGATTTAATAAATCTAAATATATATCATGTTCTTTATCATGAGTAATAAACTTAAACTTAAATAATTATGTGATTTTAAGATGACATCAATCACCATGAAGAATATCTCACAGCAATCAGAAAAATATAAACATGTTACATTTACTAAAAAGAAATTATATCGAATAGTTCATGTTATGTCAAAATCATCAAAATGTACTCACAAAGAAACCACGGTTGCATGTTTCTTTTATAAAATTCGCAAATTCAAATGCTTATCAAAAGAGTACTTTCCTGGAAAAAAAATGTGTAACTCGATACCAATGTATGACTTTTAACATTATGATAGAATATTGTGTTGTATCAGCTGGTGTGAAAAATTTAGAAATATCTTAAAATCTAATATTATGTTAGTCATCTGTAAGTGATGTTATTTTTTTTATCCTCCATGATGTTAAAGTTATTGAAATAAAATATATGAACTTACGAATAAGTTCTTATGTTTCGGTATGTTTTGATTAAAACATGTTTTTCAAAAGTTATGACAATTAAATGGACGTACAATTGTACACAAAACCTGAAAAAACTACACGTAAAATATAAATTAACAATTTTTAATAGAAATATAAAAATGTACTTACAGGTCCGAAGCCTTTTCCTTTCAAGTCACCTTTAAGTTATCATAGGCTTATTTTCAATACATAAAGATTTCTGTTATAAAAATGTCAAAAGGCCAAAAGAGTTTAGCTAATTGTTGATGTGTGTTATTTACCTAAAAAGACACGTATAATAGAACAAAATACGTTTCAAGGAAAAACTTTCAGATATAAAAGAAATTTCGAAATAAATGTTAAGATAAAACAAAATTTTCGATTTCCGTTAAGGCTCTTTTAATTGTGTTGAAATTTAAATTTGACAACCGATTTTAAATAAATAGAAATATTAACCTATTTTTATCTAGTACGAGGATACGGTGTAAAATTGATATGAGAAACATTCTGAGGACATATTTCAAGGGGCTGACAATGAAATATTTTCTATCAAATTACACGTGTTATTAATTTGCTTTTGGTATGACCATAGCTTTTTGTAAAACGTACAGCGTCAACTTAAAGAATGTATCGTGTACATTTCCTCTGAATTAACCATCAAAACACATGTTTGGATTTTCTAGCCATATTAGCATATATATTTATTTAAATGGCAAAACCTCTACAATAACACCTCTAGTTGAAAGTTTCAGCGGGCTCCGCTTTTTCATAATTTTTTCTCTTAAACTGTAAAACTGTCCATAAAGATGAAATAGAAAAAAGTTAAAAAAAAAACATATGAATTATATATATGCAGTAACTGCAGTAAGCATAGTTAGTACTGTATATGCTGTCTCTAGTAGGGCATTATTTTTCAATTTTAATTTCTAAAACTCATGCCAAACTTCACTAGGGGGCGTGTGGGATGTTGCAATTTGTCATTATCCATCATGTACAGACTCAGTCAAATCGACTTTGTAATAGTCATGTTGTTTTATTGTAATTAATGCTTCTGAGAGATCATACGCTTTCCAATTTTGTCACTAAGAATGTATTTTCACTTTAAATATCTTCTTCGCTGTTATCAATTAAACATAAGTAATTAGGTTCTCTTCGGTGCATTTTCAAAATAAAATCTAAGAGTGATACCTCGGAAGGAATGAAATGAACAAAATTGCATATCTATTTCTAATTCGGTCATATGTCCATGTAAAAGCGGTTTACAATTTTTAAAAATCAATGCGCTGGAATCGATCAGAAACGAAAAACAAGACAACATAGCTGTAAAGTAAAGTGTTGAGCAACATTAAACTCGCTTGTTTTTGTTACATAATAATCAAGTACTTGTCTTATCATAAAAACACCAGTCAGTCAAGTGTTTTTTTTTTCTATTACTTTTTATAATGGTTTGAAAACGTGTTTTATTTATTGTTCCGGTTTTGTAGCCAAAAAAAGAAAAGTAGATATATGAATCCACTTAAATACTTCCTATGGTATATAAAGTAAGGCGTGAGAAACTGTTGAAACGCAACATAAATGAACTTCAGAAATAATTCTAATGGTAGTTTGGATGTATTTATTCATGAAATTTGTTTATCTAATATAACAACTATTATTTGATCAGGTAAAAAATTCACTTGACCTGCAACTTTTCTGTCAAATTATTTTTGCATTATTATTGTCGAAAGTGAAATGTACATATACTATAGAAAAAAAAGAAAGAAGAGAAATCTGCATGGAGTTCATTCTCTCTATTTAAAATTTCATTTTTGAACAAAAAAGGAAACAACTGACCATAAAGATCTGTTTGATAGTGGACATTACTGGCAATTTGCAATTTGCTAAAACAAACACGCCTAACTATTCTGGACACTTCACATTGTAAACATTTCAAGCCACCAAACAATGTGTAGTTCTTAAAACTATCTTTTGTTTTGAAAAACATATCTACATCACCTTTATGACTTTGTGGCCAAATAGAAAATAACTTTCATTTTTCGCAAGTGTACTCAATTTGACAAAGCTCGACGAAAGTTAATTTCCAATTTGAATAAAGTTGACATTGATCTAAATATTCTCTTGTTATTTTTTAGGCAACTAAGACCTTTCTGGCTAAATTAGTAACATATTTGTCATGCGTACACGCTTACATCCAAGAGACAAAAAGTATTCATTTCACACATAACAATCATATTTCTATACTTGAAACACATTGTTATTACTTCCCTTTTTGCTACCTTTTATTTTTCTGTGTTCTTTTCAAGTATCATTGTTTTGTGTATGTTTATGCTAATATAAATATTTATTCAAACCAATTATAACATATTAATTCAAAATGTATCATATGAATCATATATTATGTTCCCTGACGCTATTCATTTGTTTTCCCTCTATTCATGTATAAGGCTTTCTCTGGACAAACGTTTTTCAATGCCTTATAGGTGTGACCTTGACCTCTAGAAAACTAGAGACCTTGTCCATGTGTGCGAAACATCTTCTCATAGTGGTGAGCATTTCTATGAAGTTTCAATAACATTTTTCCGTGGACGCCGCCCGCCAGCTCGCCAGACCGCCTGTCTGCCGGGCGAGGAACTATAATACGACTCGTTTTTTAGATGGGCGTATAAAAATGATGTACTAAAATTTCGGGAAATCATTTTATTTGTATTGTATTTTATGGGGTTACATATCAACACCATTTGATCAAAAATAAGAATTTTCCTAATCAAATAAATAATCTCTGGAAGTGTTGTTGATTGCTACTATAATATTTTGTTGTGTATCTTCAGAGAAACTCAACATAAAGTCTTTTTCCTAGCAGTACAATATCAAAAGCAAATTGGCAACCAAGTGTGCACAATAAATACCCATGGGAATTCCTCTTGTCTGTTTAAGAAGGCTATTGCCAAACCTGACATAAGTAGTGTTATACAATGCTGAAGTTTAGATGAACTGGTGAACAATTTCCTCTTAAGTAGATCTACTTAAGAACGAGAATTTGATCAGTCACGCTGTGGCATGTCTGTTCAATGTATCACTTTGTTTGTGAACTGTTCTGATGACCTGCATAAGTTTGTGGTTAAGTAGGGTGAATAAAATTGTTACATATCATTGTATCTGACTCACTTTATTTGTAAACTCGAGTTGATGGTTAGTTTATTATGTAAAGATATAATTGATATAGTTTTATATGTATATATAATATGAAATTTATTTACGGCCATAACTCAGCAAAAATGCAATCGCTTTCTTTCTTTTTATAAATATTCGCAGTTTCCATCGGAGAAATTGCAAAAAAAACAAAGCAATCTGATGGACAGCTTAATCCCTTTCCGAAGTGTGTGGACCTTTGACCAACCATGAACTTGATGTTGTGCCATGCGTATCATAAGCACATAGTCTCGCGATGGTGATTATTTGTGCCAAGTTATTTAAAATCCTTTATAAAGTCAATAGTTATGGAAAAAATATAACCTTGACCTTTGGGGTAGCAAAACTGGATGATGTTGAGCTCTGCAGATTGTGTCATGGTCTGGATCATTTTTGCCAAGTAATTTAAAAACCCTTGAATTGCCAATAAGTTATACGGCGGACATGAAAAATAAATGTTTTTACATTGGACCTTTGTTACCCTGACTTTTAAGGTTGTGACTTGATTATTGTGCTCTGCCAATGGTGTCATAATGGTGACCATTTGTTAAAAAAACATTGCAGCTGTATAAATGTTATGGACAGACACGGAATGTAGACTTTCTAACACTAGACCTGTAAGTGTAACCTTGACCTGGGGGGGGGGGGTAGCAATTCAATCATTGCGCTCTGCACATCGTCTCATAATGGCAAACACTGTTGTCAAGTTATTTAAAAATAATCAACGGTTAAAAAGTTGGTTTAAACAATATTTTTATTTCAATTTTACAACATAAGTATATACAGTAAGCATATACAATAACACTGATGTATTTCGTGGATTGGAAAACAAGTCAAATGTGACTTATGTAAATTCCTTTCTATACATAAGGTACTTGCAATGAAACAAATATGCACATATTTGGTCAGAATAATACAGAGAAAAAGCAAATCAGACAAATAATTAAAATTTGTAAGATCATTAGAATCTAGAGTAGTAGAATAAAATAAACTTCTGTTTCAAAATTATTTCATAATTTTTGGAGATTACTCCAAACAATTTCATTTACAAAGTATTCAATTTAAGTTTATGTTTATGAAGTTCAGATGATTTTATTCTGAATGTTTCGAAGAAAAAAAAAAGAGAAAAAAATATGTCGGCACACAATATGATCGGGAAATAATGGACAGAAAAATGATAATATTAGTTAGTAAAACATTTGGACGCTAGGATAAACTGTAGAACTTTAAGAACGATTTTTTCGTTCGTGTTAAAGCTCAGACGCTCGTCTCCGTACAAGAGATTTTTAAGTGTCAAGAAAGTAAAAAAGTTATTGAGCGGACATGAAATGTAGACCTTTTCACGCTTGACCTTTAAGTATGACCTTGACCCTGGGGGTAGCAACCCAATAATTTCGCTCCGCACATGTTCTAAAAATTTTTATTAAATATTTTTTTAAAAATTCAGTGGTTAAAAGTTATGGAGCAGATACGAAATGTAGACATTTTAGCATTTGACCTTTAAGTGACCTTTTGGGTAGCAACCATTATTATTGTGTTATACATAATGGTAATCAGTTGTGTTAAGTTATTTAAAACATTAGCGGTTTAAAAGTTATGGAGCAGACACAGAATAAAGACTTTGTAACAATTGACCTTAAGTGAGACCTTAACCTTGGAGGAAGCAACCCAATTATTGTGCTTTGCAAATTGTTCTATTATGGTTATCAAACGTGCCAAGTTATTTTCTTTTTTAAATCAGCGGTTTAAAAGTATTTAAGCGGTCACGAAATGTAGACTTTTTTATGAAAAGAAGACATTTTAACATTTGACCTTTAAATGTGACCTTGACCTGGGGGGTAGCAACCCAATTATTGAGCTATGCACATCGCCTCAAAGTTACATGTGACCTAAAGACGGCATGTTTGACATCTTATAGGGTCCTTCATTACGACGGCATGTGTAACAAGATTTAATCACTGATTTTACTGATGCGTGGCCTTTGTTTTATGGAGAAGAATTGGATGTTTGACTCCAGAGGTGATATCTGAATAACCAATTCTTTAGCCTCCTTGACATGTGATTAGTCAAATTGTTTGATTTATAAGTTTC